AAAAAGATTTACAAACACAAGATCCTGCCACTGTCTATTACCTCAGAATTCAAGTTTCTCCAGTAAAGCTATATTAATTCACTTTGCTATGTAACTAATTGAGAGAGAGTTTGTAAGGCCTCAAGGACTTGTGCTTGATAAAGATTCTCTGTCTGTAGAGTCGTGACACTGACAGATCTAATCTGGGATTTCCTTTTTTGCCCTTTCGACGAAGAGCTAGTGCTTTTACCTCTTCTGCACTTCAAGGGACTACAGGGAAGATACTGAGGGTGCTTTCATAATTAAAACACTGGCCACATGCTGATGTTCTGATATAACCTTCCCACAGTAATTTTCAGCAAGTCCTTCCCTAGGACTCTACCTTTGTTTTCCAAGGGTCTATAACAGACAATCTCTGTTACCTGGTGCTTGAACCACAAACTCCTGTCCCAGGGAGCCCTCTGGGGCCTGTTCCTATGGCTTATGCCCAGAACAGGGTAACCTGTATTTACAGCATTGCTTAGGAGCTCCACTAAAGAGAAGTGAGTAAGTAACAATGAATGCATAGCTTTCCTTGGTTGTATCAACTATAAGAATAAAGCACACTATACTTCTAGTCTTTCTCATATAAACTGGGTTGTGCTGAAGTTACTCTTGCACCTAACACATCACTTCTTCTCATAGCCTACTCTTTAGTCTTATGTCAGCATTCTTCCACACACAAATAATTTCTGCAGGATTCATTAAAAATGCACTAGCATTTAAATTTGACTTTAATTTCAATTTGACTTTAAATTCAATTTCCCAACATTAAAAAAATATTGAAAAGTCCTCCAATGCACTTTAAACTGTCCTCAATGCCTTGAATGGCTTTGTGTTTATTTAGCATTTGCTTAGGTGATGCAAAAGCTTTAAAATTCTTTAGTTAATTAAGCTTTAAAATAATTTGTAACTGTATGTGATCACAGTAGTTAACAGTGTGATTAACAATGAACAATGAATGATAAACAATGAAATGTATCAGGTTAAATCAGAGTTATTGAAACAGCACCTTCCAGTGTTCTCAGTATTTACTGTTACACGAGACAGACACATTATGGTTTTACAAACTTCTTTCTTGCCTGAACTGAGAAAGGCTTCCTTCAGTACAAACATTTGCAAGAACTATATTCAGATGACGTTTTTCGTACTAGTACTATTTACTTGTCTTTTCCCCTCAAGCAACTATGATAGCACACACTCGGAACAAAAGGATAAGTTTCAGTGACATTTTGGAAATTGAAAGCTAGTTCAGTTTTCAGTTGTCTGCACCAAAACAGAGGACTTGGAGCAGCTACTGCAGGGATCACCCTAAAAGGATGACCACGAGGAAGCCCTCAGCGCCATCCCACTAACTATAGATCATTTATTCCCCACCCCTAGGGCTGCAGGGAGTGTGTGGCCAAGGGGAACGGATACTCCAAGAGAAGCATCACAGGAGCTGTGATGAGCTACCAGGAGGGAGCCTTTCCCCATGGAAGGGGAAGGAGCAACTCTTGATAAAAAGGATAAGGAAGAAACAGATTTCAACTGTAAAGGAATTAGTTTTTCTATTCTGACATAATATCCTTGTGCTTTTACATTTTACACACTAAGTGATTTCAACAAAAGGAGAGGAAATAACACGATAAGGGACCTAAGCATCACTAGCTCATAGAGGGGTTGGGACACAAATAGCACTGAATAGCATGAAATAGCTGAGCATGAACCCCTGAGGAAACTGAAATACTGTGCCAGGCGAGCACTGAGCAGAGTACAATGGTCACAGTCTGCAGCACATTTTTAGTTATTTTTAGCTCAGTAACACATAGCTTTTAAATGCTACACTTTTAAATTCATTCCTTTTGATTTTTTTTCAAAATGCTAGAAACTATTTTTTTAAATAAAAACTATTTTATTTAGAATGTAGGCTTTGAAGTTTGCTTCAGGTTACTCCAACAGGAAAAAAGGAAAAAAGGGGGAAAAAAAAAGTCTTTTATTTGTGAATATACTGAAGAACTCCCTTGGAAGGAAATCAGTTCCTAGACAACCCCAACAAGAGTCCTGCTGGCTTCAGGTCTGCACTGCTGAGCAGTCAGCACTTTTTCCTTTTAACACTTTAAGCTCTAATGAAAATACAATGCTTGACCTCATCCTTGACTTTGCAATCATTTCTCATCATGGACATATATTGACATTAGCAACCATGCAAAGGAGAAATCAAGTTCCTGAGGAGAGTAGTAGAGACCAGTCTGCAGGAAAGCAGATTTTGGGTTATTGAGGAACAAGTAGATAGTTCAGGGGAGACAGCTTTGAAGAGCAGAGTTGCTCAGGAAAGCTGGGTTTGCCTTCAGGAGAACATCTCAGGCATGGAAACTGTCCATCCCAATACTCAGCAGATTCAGGAGGTCCTGCTTCCCCAGCAGGTCGTTGGGCTAGCAGGGAAGTCATGGCAGAGCTCCAGTGTGGAAAGACCCCAGACAGGAGGAGAAAAGAAGGCCAGGCTATAAAGGAGGAAAGTAGAAATGCTGCCTGGGCATGTCGGTGTGGTACCAGGAAAGCCAAGCTCAGATGGAGCCGAGATTTGCGAAGTATGGCAAGGGGTGGCAAGAAGACCTTCCATGGCTCCATCAGCCAGCAAAGGCTGAACAAGAAAAATATGAGCACGGCAGGATGGGGCTGGTGATTCCGTAGCGTTGTTCACAGGTGAGGCTGGGATCCTTGCTGCCTGCTCTGCTCGCTCCAGCAAGGCCTGCCCAGCCCCTGTGCTTGGCCTACCTGGGTCTCGTGATCAAAATTCAGCTCTTCTTTTCAGATAGACATTTGGCTGACAAAACTAGTTTCTGCCTACAACAAGCACAATGAAAAGTTATAGATATTTTATAACCTATCTTTACTAAGGTATACATTACTGAAAGAGAGGTGCTGCACTTATTTAAAGAAATCTGGCCAAGGTTTCAGGAAGATATGTCCATATGGAAACAGACACAGAAAAACAGCCAGTTGTTTCCTAGAATCTCTGTTTACATTAAAACAAAAGCAGGGAGAGAGAGAGAGAGAGAGAGAGAAAGAGAGAGAGAGAAGTAAGTATTCTTTACTGATCATGACTGTAGAGAATACAAAGGAAAATATAACCCAAATTTAAGTGATGCAACTCAGAATGACTTTGTCCAGAAATACTATCACGATTAATAATTTCTTCTCTTTCATTACTATTTCATTCCAACACATGCTGTCACTTTCTCATAAGTTTCTCATTCAAAGCATAAGGAAAGAGGCAGATAGACCTTATCATTTTAAAATTGAAGTCAAGTTAGTTATCACTTATGTCAGTTAGTGACTCACCTCCACACAGTCACAAGAAAGCAGTGACAAAATTTGTGTTTTTTCCATGTAAGGGCAGGACACTGGTTTTCTCATTTTTTTTTAATTTGTGAAAGACATACACAGACCAACCTGATTTTTGTCATGTGACAGAAAAGAGAGTCTGCTACCTTTGCTCTACAAATGGGGGTAGGCTTATTCAAATAGGGGATAAACTGTAAAGGATAAACAGTAGTTTTACTTTTTATATATATTAATGAGATTTAAACTTGAATATTTAAAGATGATTTTCTTTTCCTTTAATAACAATAAATTTTATCAGGAACTCTGAAAACCCCAGACTGACTTCAGAGTTGTTAATTTTATATTAAAAACACTGAAAAAGCACTCAAACAACATATGCCAGGAGTCTACCCAAGCTTTCAAGCAAGGAACCTGCAGGAATACCTGCATCACCTAAATGTCTGATTCTCATTTTGTTTCCTTTTCAGACAGGCTCCCTCTTTTTGACTGTTCACCCGTTTCCACACAAGGGGTCTGCCTGTGCAAGCGGCCCTTGGCAAGCAGGGGGAGGTACAGAAGGAGGCCGGGACTCCCAGATGTGCTGGCCGAGGCCTGCAGCACGGGCTGGAGCTCGGGAGAGGCTCCCAGGAGAGGTGGCAGGAGAACAATGCCAGGAACAATGAGAGGTGGCAGGAGAACAATGCCGGGAACAATGCCCCACGCTGCAGAGACCTCCCCGCCGGACGCACAGCTGAACATTATGTCACTCGGCGTCACGAGCCGAGCGCGAGGCACTGGGGACCTCCTCTGTGTTACTCAAACAAGAGGTACCATTCACGCGCAGTAACGAGGCTTTCCATCGCGCCGCAGGTGGCGGAGAGCAACGCGCCCCCGTGCCCAGGATGCCCTTCCATGGATGGGGCTTACCCTGATAGCCCATGTTTTGCTCTCAAACCCTTTGGATTTCCTCCGGTAAATCCAGTCTTTTCTCTCTGTATCCTCTGTGAATCTTGTGAACCTCTGAAAAGCCTGCATAACTCTCTTTTCTTCTTTTCCTTATGGCCTCCTACTTCTTTCACAGGGGAAAAAAAAAGAAGGCCGTCTGCAGAGAGTTGCTGATCGCCTTTGTCAAAGTCTTCTTGAAGAACAGTGGCAGCCGTCTCTCTTCCCTTGGGAAGCTGGTGCGTGCACCCAAGCACTTCATCTTCCAGCTTAGGAAGAAACGGCTTCACTCCAGAACCAAACTTGTGCCTGCTGCCTAGGACCCCCACCCATACATCTTGTCAGCTCCTGCTAAGTTACCAAGAGTGGGACTTACCACAGCAATACTGAGCCTGCAGATGCACACACTTTGACATGTCTGCTGTGCCCCAGAAGAATTTATTGAAAGTCTTTAAAATTAAGGGAAAACAAGAATAAACACCCTTCTACCAATCTACCTTCTCCCTAGGCAAAAATGAGCTTTATTTCCACAACTGGATCTGATATCTCAACAACTTAACTAAACTACAATCCTTCATCAGTACTTTGACATCTATAGTATTCCTTAATTAAAATGCATGAAAAGATTCAGATTAAGCAATATACGGAGCTATACCCTGCTCCCTGATTTTCTGAAGCAAATCCAGAAAAGGTGTGAATACCAAAAATCTAAGCAGTCATTAAGTTTTACTCACTCTACAGTCCCGCTGCAGCGTTTTCATTAGTGCGCTGTGAGTTTCAGAGTCAAAATACAATGCTTCATGCATGTCTTGCAAGAAATCCAAGTCTTTGAACGTAGGGTTGGATTTCTCCCTCTCTTTTCTTGATGCCCTCCGTTTGTATGTGGAGCCTTTCAAGTCATAGGTGAAATGCATTCTCAAGGCTCGTGGCAGAACATTGTTCATTACAACAATTCTGATATTAATGCCTCCTGACTGAACGCAGTACAGCCCGTAAAACTTGGGTAGGAGAGTCCTTGGATTCTGGTTCAGATTCTAGAATAAAACACATATTATTAAATATGACTTTTTAAAATAAAGTCATAAAGAAAATCCTTAAGAAAAAGATTTGTATGCCAAAGGGAATTAACAACAAGAATACAGCTCATGTTCTCCTATTCTACAATTTCTTCGACCAGTTGCTTATTTGGGAGCCTGTACTTCAGAAAGATCATATAACCATAGGGAAGAGACCATGCCGAAGAGAAACAGAGGAAGTCAGAATTGCCACAATTCTGAAGTCACAAAGCTCAGGCCATCTTTCCAGCTTGAAGAGTAAACAGAAGCCCAACAGCAAAAGCAATAGTTTGCTTCCACCATTTGCTTTTAGGCATAGAGTTTCATTCCTGTACTTTAACACGTACTTTAAGCTCCTGCCATGACCATACTCCTTGGCATGCACTGTTCTGACAAATAGAATATTCAACCTGTGTACCCCAAAGGCTTGCTTTTTTTTTTTTTTTTTTGCCAGGGACTTATATGTGACAGTAGAAGAGCAATAACTGCATTTTTGCCAAATTTCTTTCCTGTGATAAGACTAAGCTGAAACTAGAAACATTGTGAAGAATTAGTTTTCTTATTTTGATTTGAATGTCCTTCTCATTTCACCTGTTGGAAGCAGCTTAAGTCAAAATGTAATTCTCATTACCTTGGCTTGGGTTCTGAAAAACAGACCCCTTGCCTTCATGACGCTTTTCACTATGAGGGTCTGTGCCAAATGACCAAGTTGTCTCAACATGAGTCCAAGGTCAGGACAGAACCTCACTGACCATCAGAATAGAAAGGCGTAAAATGATCCAAATTCCACAACAGGGGAAAAAAAGAAAAAAGAAAAAAACTACACACACACATGAGGATAGAGGAGAGGACAGAGAGGTGAGAACAAAAAAAACCCTAGTTCTGTCCTTTCAAACACATATGTTCTGGTTTTGGCACAGGTAAGAAAGGGAAAACTTAACTTTCCTCCTATAGCTGTATGTTGTGACTTAGTAATTATGTAAGACTTAAAACATTTCCATAAGACACAATCATAGTGATCATACTTCACATTTTTTCAGCCTTTGCATATAGTCACATTGAAGTAACATTCAAGGCAAATTCTCATCATGTTTATTTGGAATAATGGTCTACTCAAACCTGATCATCACAATAGGGAATTAAAAAAAAAAAAAAAAAAACAGCACCTGCCCTTATTATTCTTTTTGATGCTGTCAGTGCACAAAATCCCTTTAAATAAACACTGAATCAGAGTTACATTAATATAATGCAGACAATACTGCCCATTTTCAATACAAGCAGCTTTTCCAGTGTTTACTTAAGAGAGCACACCCAGAAATCAGGCCAATAGTAACAGGTCTAATACTCCAAAGTCGACTTATACGAGTCTCTGTTCAAATTACTTCGCTAAGTCATTTGCTTTTGTTAAAAAAGAAAGATTTGTTCTATTTGCTTTGGATCACGGGTCATTTTCCTCACTTTGTGATGACTGATACACATTAAAGCAAGACAACCAACACCGCCTTTCTCCCTCAAAAGCTCTACTTAAACATAGCTTTTGAACAAATTAAAAAGGATAAAAGTATTTTTAATACATCTTTGTTTAATACATGAGAAATGGGGATTAGTAGTCAGAAACAAAAGTGAAACTGACCGGTCTAGTTTCTTTGTCCACTCTGAGTGAATGGCAAAAGCGTAGACAAACACAAATTGGGGAAAAAAAGTGGAATTAGAAATTTTAATAATTTTAATTACGAATTTATTAGAAACAAAATTTGGTATCCAGTCAGAAGATGATCCTTGTTTTCATCTTGAATGCTTGAAAAAAATAATGGCTATCTTAAAATTTATGCTTGAGATATATTCTTTTTGAAGGGTGTAGGAATGCAAAATTGCACAAGGGGAAAACACTGTCAAACATATTGTGAAAAATATGGATGAAGTCACTGAAAGATTAGAGAAAACTAATGAAGTCAAATTTTGAAAAGCAAGATGTGAAATAGAAAAAATATAGGTTATGATTTATGAAGTTACTTACCATATAATACCCCGGTAAGAGCTTCTGAAGAAACTCAGCCTCTTTGTGCTGAACTGTTTTGATGATGAACTCATCATCACTAGTCACAAAAAAGAGGGACCCACTGGCACCTGGATTGGACAACTCAATCAAAGGCTCGCTGCAGATTGAATACTGGAAGAGAGACAGAGAGTGAAAGGGGAATTTGTAAGAAACCCAAATAGATGTTATTCGACACAGAAGTTTAATACAAAGAATTGTGGGTGCAAGTGGGGATCTGGGGGCCTGCATCACCAGGACTTTGTCTGCGGCAGTCCCTACAGAGCAAAGCAGGTCCAGCCATGGTTTGGCCTGAAACTTTCACAACAACCACTTTAGTATAATTCTGATGTAGTTCTCTAACGAATTGTTGGATTAAAACAGAAAAAAATAAGTCAAGAGAAAAAAAAATGGGGGGGGGGCTGGAAAATACTTGTTTTGCATATGTAGACAAGCTCTCTTCCACAGGCAGCTCTCTCCCAAACATCATGTTTAGTAGGAAAAGGACAACACTTAATGCTCTTTACTGGTAAAACCAGGTCTCACACACTTACATACATTTATTAAGCCTTCATTAGTTCACACTCTGCCTTCTATTTGAAGTAAATGGAAAAGAGATGCATTAAATTCAACAACATGGAAAAGTCTGTTTCTATTAAATGCAAGAGCTTGATTAAAACATACTAACATAAAACTTTTGTTCATAACCTCTTTTCCTCTGTTCAACATCAGCATCTTTCCACAATTGCAAATTTAGTGTACAGTCCAATACTCTAAAAGTTCAGTCTTTCAAAGAACAAAACTGCAAAAGACCTGACCTATGAGCAGCATAAGCACCCTGGAATTATTCTCAGCAGAACAGTATGTCTTTTGCTCTTCTTGCAACAGGAATAACGGTTTCAGTAACAAAATATCTGGATTATTGGGTCAGTGCCTAGGATGAATTGAGCAATTCCACAAGAAAAATCCCTTTATTTGCTGAAAGTGGCTTTTATTAACTTTAGCCAGTCTTGCCAGTGATTTTAGAGGGTGGTGATAGCAAAAAAAAATGGTATAAGAAAACAGATTGAATATGCGCTTTTGTGAGCACTTGAACTAATGAAGCATGTTTCCTACGGACTCAAATCAGTGCCTTGATGCGTTTTACTATACTGGCTCCAGCTGAGGTTTTTCCCATGCTTGGAACTTTTAAAAGGTTTTATATGGTATGAAAGTTTTGTTTGTTTCTCTCCTCGTTTCTCCTGTTAGATCAGTTCTGCTTAGTAAGAGACAGTTTTCCATTTAAGCTTACAGCTTCAATTGATTAAGGATAGATCATCATTAGTGGTCTATAACACAACAGGTCTTAAGTGCAAATCAGCATCTGTGTTACAACCCCAGGGTTTTTCTTGACGAAATATGTAAAGCTTCATCAACAGTTTTCATTGCTGTAGACATTTGAAATCAATTATCTAAAGCATTCAAGCTCAATAAAATAGCATGAACTAGAGTTATTAATCTATACTGTGTGTTTGCCATTTTACAGTTGAGTTCATTTCTATAAAATAAAGCATACCAAAAAGGGCTGCAAAACAGGAGCCCACCTAATTTTGCCTGGAGATTTTTTTTTAAAAAATCGATGTCCAAAGCAGTTAAATACTTCTTGAACAAAAAAGTTTCACTCCAAGATTTTTAGTGAGTGTTTGATGCTATTAAGTGTTCAAGTACATTTAGTCTTGTCATTGTGATCAATCCTACAGAGCAGTAATGCTCGGCCTTCTCGGAAAAGGTGAGGTTGTACCTGGGCTTAGTCAGTGCAAACAGTATAAACACCGCACGCGCTCGCTGCAATTTTTCCTCCCTTTCCTTCTGTTCCCTTTCTCCTCAGTCTGGATAATCAGTTGTCATATTGTTACACTGATGGGTCTGTTACAGATTCTGAATTATAGTTACAATCACTTCATGACAGACAGTGGCAGATCCAGATTCTGGAAGATCCAGATTCTGGCAGATCCGGATATTGGAAGCATACCTTTAATTAGTTATTTTGGTAATAACCAATAGGAAAAGAAGCTTCCAAGCTAAAACTAGTTTTACTTCTTGATCACCAGACCCCTTTGGTCACATCTCCCTCTGGGCATAACCAGTTGTGAACTGCCCTGCTTATACCATGTTGCCTATTTAGAGTCAGGAACTATAGAAATGGGTTCTAATTTCTTCGTAGAGTAGGCATAACCCTAACAAAGGGCTGTATCAATAAAAACAGTCACAAAGAGAAAAAAAAAAAACAAGCAAAAAAAATTCCCAAACCAAAAAACAACAATAAAACACCCCACTGAAATTCCAGCTACTATTTATTGAAGGAAATCCACTTTTGTATATGCAAGTAGTTGAGCTCAGTTTTAAAACTGCTCAACCCTCAACTCTGCAACTGCATCCAGCCTCCCTCTAACCTAGGGAAGAGGAAGCTGCTGCAGCTGGGGAAGCTGCACCCCAGGTACATTGCTCCAGACACGTGTCTCACACCACGATTTAGAGAGAGCTCCATTCTGTTGTCTCACCAATAATGAAAAACACTTTCCTAAAGTTTCTCAACAGCTGCCCAAAGCACATGCCCAGTTGGAAATAAAAAACATGCCCATCTGTGGTGTCTGTGTGCAGTTAGTGACCCTCCAGCTTTTGCCTAGAGACCTGCTCCACTGGTAGATCTTCAGGAGATGTCTCCCTTTCGTTGTGCAGGCATTGCTCTGTCACTGCGCTTAGCAGGGCAGAGGGGAAAAAATCTGCAACAAGTTACCTTTACTGGGAGTTTCCTCAGGGATTAGTCATCTTGTACTGAATGACACAAACCCCTATCAACTGCAAACAAAGTCTGTATTTAATATTTTCTTTTCACTGCTGCAAATGTGCCTTACAATGGAATAGCAGCTGCATATCTCAGTTGCTTTTCTTTAGGAAGTACAAATTTTTCAGCTGCTGACTACATATCCCAAATTCTCTATCTCCATGCAGGCCCATAAAAGGAAACACAAAACCCAACATAAGGGCATTTTTACAAAACACGAACCCAAGAGCATTTTATTGCAAATAACACTGAATCATTCTTTTTGAAAGAAAAGTTTTGCCCTGAGTGATAGTAACATCTAGTGGCCCAGAACATAACTTAGAATATTAATGTTCAATAAAGGCAAAATCAGCTAAGTTTTGTTTTTAGGCTCATTGCTCAAGAAGGTCTTAAAAAAACTCAAGAACACAAAAAACCACACTTATAATGTACCCCAAAATAACAGAAGTCAGTTCAAGATTTCTGTTAAGAAATATTTCAGTTCAAATCTACTTTTACTTCATACTCATTCAAATTATTATGTTTTTAAAGAAGCTCAGGTATCATCAAAACCAGAAATATCTAAAAAAACAGACTTATCAGTAAGCTTTTGAAGCACAAAATAGCTAAACTGTGCTGAGACTAAATCAATATAACTATTTATTTAGCACTAAATTGCTAAATGGGACAGAGATTTTTGGGGTGGACTTGGATGAGATGAACTAGTCACCTAGCAAACAACCCAGCTCTTAACTTCCAGACTTCCTTCTAGAAGCAGAAAAACAGGAGAAGTAAAATAGTGGATCCTTTTCTCTGGCAGTGCACAAAGTGGTTCCACCAAGTAAAGCCTACTCTTCTGCCAAGTGCAAATTTTCCTTTCATGTAAGCACTTGTGTGTGGAGAAGCACCAAGGTCTGGGTTAGGAGAACAAACGAGATACTTTCTAAATGCTTCTTTCCTAGGCCTGCCAACTCTTACCAAGACTGCAGGAGTGAATGTTTGAAGGCAAATGTCTTTCTAATAAAGGGACTAAATAAAAAAAGAAAAAAAGAGGCTCTGTTAGAACTGAATCAGTAAAATTCACAGTTAATTAAAACTAGCAGAAAGAATGGCCTGAATAAGCAGTAACAGTCATATTCATCTCACAGTTTAACAACTACAAAGTTTAGTCAAATGCTAAAAATATTCAGTAGTTACAAACCAGTCTGCAGAAAGTCTACCATCTCCTGGAACATCATTAAAGCATCTTTCCTATTGCTATGAAACTGGTATTTACATTATAATTATTGGTAACTCAAAGGAAAAATGCAAGCTCTTACCAAGTAATCATCAGGCTTGATACCAAAAAGTTCTCTGAAATAGCGGAAGGCAAGAGGTGCATACGTCTTAAATCTGAAGTCAGGATAATGATGAGCAGGCGTGAGATTGCTTCCTTCACTGAGAACAAAAATAAAGCAGACCCAGTTGTTACCGAGCAATTTGAAGCAACATCCTTCTCCTAGCTAGTTTACTTTAAAGACGGTTTACTTCAAAGTATTTTACTTTAAGCTTCACTGCCAGTCTCCTGGGTAAAGAGCAAGAAATTCAGACAAGCCTTGGCATCAGCTTTAATCAGTGTATCGGAAGTGGCTGCAAGAGGCAGAACACCTCCAGCAAACTCCCTTCTCCCTCCTCCAAGGACAGGACAAATAAATGATTATTTTCACCACCAATATCCACTTGCATAAACGTTGTGTTCCAACTAATTTTACAACTTTTGACACCCTTTAAATATAAGCTGGTCTAATAGCGTACTGACACAGAAAAGGTCACCCTCTGCACTTCACATGAGCAAGGATTTGGGAAGTTAATCTGGCAAAAAACAGTTTTGTGCTGTTTGGGTGATTTGAGTGGGTTTGCAGGGCAGTCAGTCAGACACTAGAGGTAGTTCTGCCCCTTCTGCTGTGCTAAGTGGCCAGAGGCAGGGAAGTGGGGCAAAACCTCTTCTCTGGTGCCAGCAAGCTTCAACTGGCTGCTTCTTTCCTAGGAAATTGCATCCCCTGCACTATTCTCTGTATTACAGTACAGTATCTTGCTCGTCCTTGCTAGTACAGTCCAGAACTGGAGAGTCACTGGGGGACTTTGCAGACCCTTTCTGACTGTTTGCCTGCCACATTGCATGTTTTACTCCACCACAGCTCAAGCCAGCGTTATCCTGTGTGCTTGGCTGGTTAAACAGAAACGCGTGTTATGGACTCTGCTGGGAATTCAGGAAAGCAATACGCTCAAGAAACAGACAAAACGGGTGACTGGCGCATAATTCGGCCCATCTGTTAAGGGGGGCTGCTACAAGAATGTGGTCTCTTTAGTTCTTCTCCTTGTTTCATGTTTAAAAACTCTTTTGCTGTGTTACTAGACTGTAGTTGTAAAACAAGAGTTGAAATGTCTGCTCCAGAAAAACCCTGGCAGGAGAATGCTATCAGAAAAACAAATACATAAAAACTGCCCGTGGACATGTTTATGCTGAAAATTAGAGGAAGGCTTTTGACCACAAAAATAAAGTTCTAGGCTATAATTTCAATACAAGCAAGAACAGCAGAAGGACAAAGCTTGCCCAGTCTGTGAATGCAGTGATATGAAGTTAAGTATAAAAAAAATACAGAAGACCGGACACTGTGGCCAAAGACAGCTCTTCCAATAGTACCTCACCCTGTTTAAGTTCTTCAGTCACACAATACGTACCTGTATACTTGGCAGTAGGAATATCCAAAGAATACCAAAAATCTAGGAAATCTTTTAAATACAAAAGCAACGTTCCAAAAGACTAAACCAAGTGTGTGAATATATTTAAGAGTATAATTCCCGAGCAATTAATGCTTGTCATACCAGCTTTTCGTCTTCTGCTAGTACAAATTTAACGGTAAAATTTCATCCAACCCACCAAGCTGTCACCAGTGTTCATACCACTGAAGCCAAACAGAGCTAAACTGCTGCTCATCAGGAAGTGGGAGCTGCAGAAAAGATTTTTGAGCTTCCATACACTTGATGCTCCTGAGCAGTAAATCAAAGGAGGAAAAAAAAAAGTGACCTAATATCTGGCTAGAAATCATAAACGCAAAGATAATTTTGGCTGACTAAAGACATACACAGACACTATAGACACTGGTCTTTTCCTGCATACTAAACCATCAGCTAATGGAGCCTGCTTAGTTCTAATGAACTTTTCTGCATGGTTTATAGCACAAAGTATCACAACTCTTAGACATTAAAATCAGATCCACATGCATTTTGTTGTTCATTTTATTAAAAAAAAAAGAATCAGAAGGTGTTTCCTTACAGCTATGATCATCTGATGCTTTTTCTTACACAGTCTTTTCAGTTGTTCAGAACATGGCCCATCCCATTTGTCATTAAATTTTATATAGCTGGATGTGCTAGACACTGAATTTTGGGTAGTGTAAGGATGGCATATCAGCTCCAGGTTGCATTCTTCAGACAACTCAACAGCCAGGATAATGTATGCGTATATCTGCTGAGAACTTGATCCCATAATTGTAAACACATTTAATTGCAATAAGATGCGGACGAGAATAGAACAGAGATATCTCTCTGCTGAAGCATCGCATCATTGTCAGGGAAGACTCATCACCTAAACTTTACTAAAAGAAACAAACGAAACCCCATACACTCTTCCTTTTGGGTCCTACATACCTTTACAAAATCTGCCTCTTCCAGCCATAACTCAACAGCCTCTTTGGCGGAAGTGTGATAGTGAATACATTACACATCCCGAGTACACCAGAACGTGTACCATTGTGGAAACTTCCCTCGGGTTCAAACAAAGATTGGAGCCCTTCTATGCTGACATCGAGGGCCCAAGCCGCTTCTGAAACATCTGAAAATCGACCGACAGTGAAATGAATTGTTGTGAATAGCCCTGCAGGTGGACATTAATCCTTAATGAAGGGAAATTTATCAGAGGCTAATTGCAAACCAGAGCCGTTATTGTGGGCTGATGTCTACAGGGAAAGCAATTCTATGTACTTAGAGCAGATGAGCTTGCTTTGTCACAGCTCTGGTAGTCAAATTCATTATGCAGGCAAGTTGCCTTAATCTTTGCAATACAGTTTTTAAGAGTCTCCTTTTACCAAAGGTCTTCAAAGCTTCTCATCATACTCAGCTGTTTTTATTAATTATATAGATTAGTTGCATCTTTGCTGACTATTAGAATAGCTTACAGGATCAAAATCGGAAGCTCTTCTGTGATGCCAGAACTAAGCTTGACATAAATTTAAGATTCCCTGGTTATGTCCCTGGAAAAAAGTCACCAAGTGTTTTGCTGTTATTTTTAACAGGAAAACCATGCAGGAATAAGTAGTTTTCTGCAGTAAGGGAACCCCTTCTAATTCCTTGTGGTTGGACATGCCCTAGCTCTCACTGCACAGAAGAGAAGCTTCCTCCATACAGAGCCTGGGTGTAAGTACAGCTCAGCCTTGTCTGGGCATGAAGCACCTACGGTGTGCCCTGGAGCTACTGCTAGATCACTTTCAATAGCTGAGGATGCCACACACACTGTTCTGGCAAAAGCATCCTCGAGATACACACATTAACACTAATTAAGAGTTGCAATTCCAAGATAAGAAAATTCATCTAACCTCTCAAAAACAGTACATATCGTTCTCCACCCATATGTTTCCAAGAGGATGGATTTTCTGCTTTCTCCTCACTCTTTCTTGGGACATTTTACAAGGGCCCAGACATTTCACTGTTTGTATTTAAGTACACGTGCAAACCACTAGATAACTTCTAACCAAGCCTAACAAGGGAGGTTCCCAAAAAGGATTACTTTTTTGCAGACAATTGGGAAAAGTATCTGTTATTTGTTGAAGAAAAGCTTAATCTGCAAAACTGAGCTTTGGATATATGAGAGAAGTGTACTCTATAAAGAAAGGAGGCAATCTCAGAAAACTTCCTCTCCTTTTACAGCACAAGTCTAGTAGAAAAACGACTGACTTTTACTATTAACTTTGACTCCTGTGACCTTCAGTAAACCAAATCTCCTTACACAAGGTATGAAAAATAATTTAGGCTTTGGAAAGATTATGAAGGAAACAATAATAATCTTAGCTTTAAGACTACACAAAAGCAAAAGATTGTTAGGTAGTGCAGAAAAGATTAAGCTTATCATGCAAGTTTGTTTTTAATACTTTAAATACTTTTTTTTAAGCCAAAAGCACCTAAAATGAGTATCCTCACACAGCCCTTCCAGTACATGCTGCGGAATGATTTGCAGTGGAAGTGGTGCGATACCAAGCTAACCATGAACTAACACAATTGCATTTTTAAAGGCAAACCCCATGCCTTGTGAAAGCATTGCTCAGATGGGCTCAGATGGGCAGCCTTGCCCTGCTGCGGCCTCACGCTGCAGAGCGGCACTGCGGAGACCCCCTGCCTATCTGCAGAGGCAGGGCAGGCTGGCTGCACCTCCCGGGGAGCAGAGACAAGTTATCAGGCGCTGCTGAAACCTGCTGCTGACCAAGAAACTGTCACACGGCTGTCTGGGGATCATGTATTACCGCCCCTCAGATGTGGGGTAAAAAGAGCAAAGAGGGAGAACAGGAGGAGGAGTAATACCTGAGTTCCTTCATGTGGAACCTACTGCCTTTTTAATCTTCTGAAAATCAAAGCATCCAAAATTAAACGCTCTTGACATTAAAAACTAACAAAGAGTATTCAACCTGAGTTTCATTATTCTTGGAAAATGCTACTCATCTACAATGCATTAAAACATGTTTAAATGCCACAAACTGAATATGTAAGCAGACCAGTGCTGATGTAGTTCACGTACTTCTTTTGCATATTCATCTCCTGCATATTATTTCAGTTAAGCAATTTTTTGCCTAACTACCTACATATCTACAATGAAGTAGGTATCACAGGGATCTGTACAAATAGCTGTTATTTTACTTTGTGGGATAAAATCCAGCAGTAATATCCTTACTTCTCACTGAATGCTATTCTGCACACTCCATTGCTGTATGCTGTATGTAAGAGGTCCCATATAAAGGCTGCTTTGAAATACAGTTGCATATAATATCCTCAAAACAAATCATAACGGTCACATCAGTAATAACTGAATACACAGGCATTTTTCTTGTTTATTGTGACTATTTAAGAAGAAACTGGGGATAACATTAATGCAGGGATCTCAGAACATTTTAAGAATAGGTAAGTATGTCTATATATACACAAGTATCCAGGTAACCCAAGTTTACCAAGAATTTGATGCTTGGCAGAGTGGCAAAGATCAATAGTCCATAACAAGCATGTCTTTGCTTTTGTTGTCACAACTATTTCCTTTCAAATGCTGTTTGTTTAGCAAATAGAAACAACTTCGTCCTGCTGGAGCTGTCACTTTACTCACTAGCCCTAAGATGCGTGTCATGAACTTGGGTCATCCCACATTAAAAGGGCAAAAAAAAAAAAAAAAAAAGTGCTTTATCCAAAACTTCAGGCCACTTTCTTAGCTGTCTTGCAAAATTGCAACTGGAAACAAATATAGTGCCACAAAGGACAGCATAAGTAAATTTTAGCGTGAACATTTGAGTATCATTGACACACAGCATTCAGAGTACTGAATATATATATTTAATTACAGGGACACTAGTGTCATAGTAACCCATTGTGCAGGTTTGGTGTGAAGACCTTTCCAAGGGCAAGTGTCAGTTTTTCTTGTTTTTCTCAATCATTCCTCAAAAACATACTGCAAAACAGTACACTTTTGTCTTAAATATAGGTTAAGACCCAGATTGCTTAAAATATATCCAAGCTTATAATTTTCTCAGTAGTTTTGCCTACTCATTTGGGCTTTTATCCAAATGCTATCTCAAGACAACATTAAGCTTTTAACATTAAACAGCAGAAAGCACTGAATGATCTTTCATTAGTGAAAACCTCCAAAGAAACAAATTTGCACTTCACTTGTTCATTTTTTACAGTCAATGGTAGCAGCAGGGTGCCTATAGGTGAACGGCTTCTAACAGACTTACCAGCTTAATTAGAAACCCCAGAAAACGTTATTAATACTCAGGGTCGAGACCCCAAGCTGAAGCCTGTTAGCAGGGGAAGTGCACAGGACTGTTAAGAGCTTTCTGCAGGAAGGTCAGACTCGCAGCAGCCCTTGGCAGAAGCCTCTGCTCAAGGAAGCACAAACGGAGGCAGGTGGAGAACACGCTGCCATGCCCCAAACGCTCCCTCGCGCCGAACCCGTGCCAGGCAAAGCACTAATGCACCCGCGCTGCGCAAACAGGCAACCTGGGGACAAAACGTGCTCCCAAGAAGTGCAGCCAGAAGACAGGGTATGGGTAGCAGTTTGCCAAGCAGTTTCCCACTGTTCAAGATGTTAGGCTGGTCTTCTGTGCCCTGTATCATCAAAATCAACTGGGTCAGGGTAGTCTGCACTTTTCTGCGTGGTGCCACTGAGATGCTATCTGGGCTCCAGCTCAGAGAGCTCTTTCACCATGACCCCTCCTAACAGCCAAGTTAGCTCCCAGAGGCAGTTTGTGATAAATGTCTCTGGGCCGTCCTATGAGACAGGGAAGAAGAATTTTCTCTTTGTGAATTTTCTGAATTTTCTGTTTCGCTGCAGCGTGAAACAGAAAATAAAGGCACGCCCCACCCTGTCCCCTGCCAGGGTGCACAAGTGAAAGCAAGCAGCTTTGCAATTCAAATCCTCTCACTGTGCAGAGATACCAGTGTTTTATTGAAAGTCGCTTTAAAGCAAGCACCTAAACTAATCTGGGTTAAACTCTGATCCAATTCAACCCCATTACAAACTAACCCTGGCTATGCTTAACTTGCAATCCGTAGAGGTATTCCTGAAGAGCAACAGTAACGCACCAAAATAAGCTGGCCAATCATGTTCTATTTTTTCCACTGCCAATGTCTCCCTCTCCTTCATGAACTCTGTGCACTGGTTAAAGTATTTTGCTATGGTTACCAAAGCAGAGGTATAGTCAAGAGTAAAGCTTACCTCAGGGTTTGAGAGACAGGCAGAGGCTATTTCTTTTCAGTTCCCAATTATATTTACAAAACACTGCTCATTATTTTTCCCCCCTAAGAGTGAAAGATGTTTTTTCCCTTGCTGGAATGCAAGCTGCTGTTTCACTGCATTTTTATTAGCTCAGGTCTATTTTATAGGTGTCACTGGAGCAGTGCTCATCTTGCTGTTGAAAGAGCAGACATGCTTATGGCTCTGCAAAGCAACCATCCTCTTACCTCACTGCCCCATCACCCCAAGACCTGGAGGTGTCAAGCACGCATGCAGCACAGAAAATACAGGAATATGTTAGAGCAGGGCAGCTTAAAAAGGACCAAGACTGCCCTGAACTGGCTACAGCAAGTGGGGGTTTGGTTTGGCTCAAGCTCGCAGCTAAATTGTATATACTGAAAGCTTATGAAAAATGCTGTTTCTTGATGGACAAGTGAGTACATGCTGCAGCACAAGGTTCCCTTCCAGATGCTGCTATCCTGTGAAAAGATTACACACCACCACTTGCTTCTGGGTGCTCATCACCTCACAGTTGGAGGTATTAGCTCCAGGATCTGCAGGTGAAACTGTTCAACCAATTTCTTTCAACCACAGCAGTTAAGGAGAGGAAAGGCATTTTCTCTAAAGTGGATTACAGCTTTAAAGCTCAGCTGCATCTGGAAAGGACACACAGCTTGGAGTTTTAGTTTTGCTTCCAGCAAGGGTAATGAGGCTACCAATAGAAAGACTGCAGAAATTGTGTATATGCCTATTCCTTTCAATTGTAAAAATTGCTTGGGTAAATCAAACCATCACAATTATTTTCCTTCCCTAGTTGGCATAAGCCTCAAAGTTGCTGTCTGCATTTTCAAAGATAATATGAACACGATATAATTTTCCATTTCTCCTAAAAGAAGCTTATGCTAATCCAATTTTGCCAGAATGGGAAAAAAAAATCCTTATGTAAAATATTGAATTCAACTTCCACTATGAAATTATTCTAGAAAATAAATTGAATGGGCTTGTCCTTACCTTGGTAGAAAAACACTTTCCACTACGTAGAAGTCTTGCATAAGGACGTCTCTGTCTGGTTTTGATGTAAGCTTTCCTACAGTATAACCAATTCCCAGCTGGATAGCACCTTTAATAGCTGAGGATGCAGTCTGCATAAAAAATAAGAATTCAAGCATCAGTTTGTTATAAACAGATTTCTGTTCTTTATCAGCAACATTTTATAGTAAACTCATAATCATTTCCATAAAAATAATTTCTAGTTATCTTTTACTTTCTCAGCTTGGAGAACAGAAGAAAACATTTAAACAAAGATGGCCACTTTTCAGCTGAATGATTTGAAGAAATACTATGATGCAGCAAAATGTTAAAAAAAAAAAAAGTCAACTTTCTGATTGTATAGACTGAGGCATTTTTAAATTGCCCAAACAGTTTGGACGTCAGATTCTAACCTAGACACTTCAGATTTAACTAGGCCTTCAGAACCCTTGAGTAGTTTTGAATCAGAACAGGGAAAGGACTGCGACTGGTGCTGTAAGCACATAAATTGAACCCACCTCTGAAACTTTTGTGCTGAATCCTTCTTGTTGGATTAAAATGCTAGGACCAAGTCAAAATAAGAAATTACTCATGAAATGAATTTGTAAGAAAAGATGGAATTGGAAAACAGATCATTGGGAAGGATAAAGGAGACTCACAGTAGAAGGAACATACTCCCATAGTAAAGAATTTTCACTACTTTGTAGATACAATTTCAGTGTCTATTTTCAGATTTTGCATCTCATCTATTCAACAAACAAGAGATGAAATTAAATGAAGAGCATCAAAAGCTCCACAGCTAGAACTACAGGAGCACTTGAACAAAAATATTTCATAAATAGTAACTTGGAATTATATAAGAATGGGTTCAAGTATACCTATCACTTATTTTAGTTCTCGGAACAGCATATGCTATGGTGACTGCTTATTTTTAGAAAAGACAAGAGATATGTGACTCTTAAATAATTAAGACTGCACAACCAGCACCGCTTGCATAACAGTTCAGAAGAGGCGATTTGGTGGGAACAAACAACACAGTCATTCTTAGAGTGCTACTTTGATTATTACAAAGATTTGGCTTGCATGGTAAAAAGATTCCCATTTTTCTTTTCTTGAAAGGCCTCTATTCATGAATGATTAATGCCCAACAAAAGGAGTGATTATGCAACTTCGATCAAACCAATGCACATACAAATAGAGCTTCTGCTTCAGAGCTGGACGCACACCTTGCTCATTGCTAGAGAGAGGATAAGGACTGAAAAAAACATCAGAAAATCACAGAATCACAGAGCGGTTGAGGTTGGAAGGGACCTCTAGAGATCATCTAGTCCAACCTCCCTGCTCTAGCAGGGACTGGATGTGGCTAGGATAACACAGCATTTGCCTTTGATTAACAACAGAGGACAAGTCAAGCAAGAAAACGGCAGGTAAACTGGTGATATGATTCCAAAAGAACAACTCTGAATCACTTTTTAGGCACATAATTTCTGTAGGTTTTCTGCACATCCAAAAGAATACATACAGGTTATAGAGGACAGAAGGTAGGGCTTTCTAGTAGTATGGTACGGATCTTACCTAGAAGATTTTGCTAATTTCCACTGATAGTCAGGAACGTGCAAGCAAATCACCATTAGTAATCCTCAGCATTTCTGTAGCAATCAGAGCAATGGCTTTAACAAAAGCAATATTATGAAACCATTCAGGATATTGTACATCTTTTTTTAAAACAAACTGACAGCAGATTTAGCATGCTGACCCTAAGCCCACCTATTTGTGAATCACTATTCTGAGCTAACATTCTCCACAAAGGGTAGTTATCCAAAACTCCTTTACCAAGAGACAAATTTTTATTTTCACAACCCTTAAATGAAACAAAACAAACCTTGGAATCTCTCAGTGCAAACGCTTGTTTAGTTTATTTTATTATTTTGTGATCGCAAACAGAACCTAAGGAGAAGATAAAGCAGCTACCACTCAAGCCCTAGGGGAAATGTTGTTCTTGATTCATTCATTTTACTACTACAAAAATATATTCCTTAGAAGTCAGTGTGCCAAATGTCAGTGGAAAAATTCCACTCCCCCCTACATTTTTTCTTGTTCAGACACCTCTCTTACTGCACACACAGGCTGAAAAGTCTACTTTCAAAGCTAAACCCATTACAACTTTCAATTCCACTTCAGTACATTATTGCTGTAGAGCAAGCAATAAAGCTCAGCAACATTTTATGCCAAGATTTCTCCCTTTTAGGGAGAGAAATCATTTTTTCTTTACATTAATTACATGCAGAGGTTCAAAAAAAGACCCTGGACCTATCTATCAAGCATAACCTCACAGTAATTCTAGGATCATTTAACCTAGTATCAACATCTTCTAAAGCTCTAAGAAATGAATGGATGAGAAAAAGCAGCAAGATTAACAACATCAGTTCATGTATTTTATACTGAGGGATTTTTAGCAAACTGTGTGCATTCTGAAAGCAGCTGTATTTTCTACAGAGAAGGGCACAACAAAAAGCTCTATCCCCCTTTTCCTGATTAGGGTGTTGCTGTTTACTGCACAAATGCATTGGTGGGTTTTGAATAGTTAATAAAGATAGAAGCCCATAAAACTGTTGTCAGTTTGAGATCAGTCAGATGAGACTACTTCTTTCAGCGGCTCAAGTACTGCAGACCCTAAAGCATCAGCCCAGGATCAGCCAAGTACTACCACTCTGCTGGATCTTCCAGCAATGGCATATACAAGCCACAGAGATGACACAGCTGTAGTTTTTGGCACGGTTAATTCCCCAGTTCATGGGAGCAGTACCAAGAGACTGCAGCAATTGTATCCTCATAGCAGAAAGTGGATTTTGGTGAGTTTATAGTTGTGGCTTTACTGGCTGCAGGAAGGCAACAGAAATCTGAACCAGTGGAAAGCCTACCTGCTCTAACCTCACGGGCAGTTATTTTCTGAGCATAACTTAATGAACAATGAATTCATGCCAGATCAGTGCTTTGTGTCACACAGCCACACACATCCTTGGTTTGACAGAGGGGCCCCTGGATTTACCCTCCAAGCCACAAGCAGAATCAGGTACAGTTCCTCCCTCTTTGGGGTTTCAACGGACATTATTCCAGAAGGGATAATTAAGACTGTCACTTGTCTCCAAACCCAGATTAAACTGCACCTTATGTACATTCTGAGAAGGAAAGCATAAAACTGTAGCTATATTGGTAACTATAACATAAGTTATGGCTCCTGCAGCCACAAGCACCGAGTCATTGCCATGACTCATAATCCTGCCCTAACTTCCTCCATGTATTTTCCCAGGGGGCCCACATTTCAAAGCAGGCTGGGACACTTCCACTTACATGAGTGGCCCATTTAATGGTCACAGAGCAGCACTGGGCAACAGCTGCATTCCACTGAGACGTGTGCTTCAGCAAATAAAGTGCCCCAGCAAATCGTAAAAACAGTGACAACAGGCGGATATACGGCGATCCCTTTGTTATTTCCCTTTCAAGCTATAAAATTCCTTCACTATATTCCACTCTTTTCAAGTTACTACACTTCAAATGTGCCCAAATTTCTTATTCCAGTCATAAGTCTGTGCTGAAATCTTCTAACTAAGTGATATGCAACCTATGTCACAGTAACAGAATAAACTGGAACCTAATATCCAATTTGAGAGGACTTAAATTTTCACATAATCCCATGAATGTAATAAGTAAGGTTTTAACATTTATAAATTAGTTCCATAATTTTTCTTTTACATATTTATTTCAGAAAGGTGTTAAGCAGACACAAGGTATGCGAAGGCAGTTTGCATTCAGCTAACAAATCCAACTGAGATGAAGCTGCCTAACAGCTGTGCAAGTTCACTACATGGTTACGAAAAGCAACTGTATCTTAGCAAAAGGACAGTCCTTAATAAAAGTGGAAAAAAACAGGGATGACAAAATGTAGTTACTCTAGCTACTAGAAAGCACATTACATTGACAAATAATTATTTCCATTAGAATGTGAAAGTCATTGCCACTCATGTAAATGTCTGGAAAACCTAACTAAACACTGGTTTGATGGTAAGGGCCTGGCTCTGGGCACACAATACCCAATAAACCAAATAGGCTTATTGTTTTAAACAAGTTTTCTTGCAAGTTTCACATTTTATGAGATTGAAGAAACAATTCCTTTAGAAACAAACCATAAATAAAGAGTAACAGTGTTGGACATAGGCTTCTTTTATTCTATACGTTCTAAACAATTTCCTTTTGCTCTCATTCATGCAGTTATTTTCTCACTCTTCTCTCTCAACTACTCTTTGCTAAGGCTTTATGTATTGCCCCAAAGCAAGTCCTGGAAAATTCAGCCCATGTCCCTGCCTCCTTTAAAGGTAGCCAACCTATAGAGTAGATAGCTGAAACTAGCTACATGACGGCTTGGGTGCAAACCTTGCCCTCGTTTATCTGTCCTCCCTGTTTATCACTCTTTTTATTGTAACTGAAACTGAGCTTGTAAACTTTCTAGGGCAAGGATAGCAACTCTTCCAGCAAACACCTGGCTTATTGCAAGTGCTATAAAGCAATGAAGAGAAAAAAAACTCCTGGGCTCCGAAACTCTACTTCATTATCAGCCTGCGAATTGCAGATAATATTTGCTTTCTGCCACCCTCTGAACTACTGTCATACAAACAAACATCAGTAAAACAGTCCAGGTTTGAAATCTACCTAATAAAGAGGTAGGGATGGCTTATTTATCCTAACTCTGTGTAAGCAGTGGGGAGCAGATGGGATTTGAGAAGGAACCAGGCCTGATGAATGCAATCCTGCAGCTACGCTTACTGCAAGTGTCTGTAGCTCCTTCACCCCTCTCTACTGCTTAATCCAGGAACTGGTCATCTGCTTCACAGCTCTCCTACCCACCAAAGCCAGGTCCTAGAGCTTGAACAAACTATGATTCTTTAACATTAACGGTATGAATGCACTGGCATCAATAAGACTGTAAGCGTGTTAAGATAACCTGACACCACAGTAAGTAGTGTAAAGAGCTTCTTCTAACTCATATTACCCAACTTGAGGCTGGCAGTATGGGAAGAATTCTTGAAGAAATGTTTTCCTTGATTTATGATTTTAA